TATGATTGAGCCCAAAATGTTCATGTGCCACATTTAGATCAACAAGTAAGTAAAATTTATTATCTTAGTCCATGTAAGGTTCATTTATTTGGTATTCAAGATGAAGCAGTAAGGGAACAAATTAATTATGTTCTTAATGAAGATGAAACTATAGGAAAAGGTCCCAATGGTACTCTTAGCATAATTTTGATGGAATTAAAAAATTGAATAAAGGTGAAAAACATTTAAAGATTACTTGTGATAATGCTGGAGGACAGAATAAAAATAACACTACTATTTGATTTTATTTATATTTAGTAATTTGTGGCTATTATGAAAGTATTGAATTGAATTTCATGATTCCTGGACATAATAAATTCAAATGTGATGGCAATTTTGGCATGATTAAAACTTTATAGAAGGACAAGAGTAGATTGTCTGGATATGTATTGAACATGTTCAACATGTTGTCCAGGATGTCCATTGCCAAATCTAAACATATATTTTCTGGCCCTTCCATAAATCATCTCCAAATTTTATAAGTTACTATTTCAGTGTCATAAATGTGCAGCTTATTTGTGAAAGATGTCTAAATTGTGATGAAATTATCATAGACAAAAGCTGGTAGTACCCCAGTATGTAAATTTCGCATAACTAGTACAAATTTAGAAAATATCTCCTGAATTTTGGGTCACGCACCCTTTGCATTTTACACCTGTTTATAAACGCAAATTGGTCAACAAGAAAATATTTATCCAAAAAGCAGGCACACTATTTGAAAGAAAAATCGAAATTGGATATTTATGAAATTTGAAGTGATCACGATTAAAAGATGTCAACTGAAACCATGGAATTCCAGAAATATCGAAATTACATATTATTATTATCAATAAATTTTTCGACCTTTTCAATTTTCAACATTTCGGAACAATTCGGAATTCCGAAATATTTAATTAATATTAATGACTTTAATCACGATCACATGGTAATATTGTGGCATTTAGCATTTATCATAATTATCTTTGACGATCGTCAAATGCAAATTAACTCCGTCATACGCTATTACACCATTTAAATTGGAACTTTTATATAATTCGTTACCCACAATTTAGATATTAATAGGAAATTATCATGTCTTACTTCCACTAAACTTAAATTGTTTATATTGGAATCAAACCCCAGAAGGTATCCTCATGCAAATGTAATCCCATATGTAAACGAGATATATTCACCATCCTTGGTATCCGATGCCCTACCTTTAAGTCTTGCAGATGAGACTAATCCTATCCTTTTAGTAAATTATATACACACAACTTCAATTTATTGCACAGAAAAAATCAATTATTAATAATACTTAGCACAACATGAATAATAAATATGAATTTAAAAAAGATACTAAAAAAAATTATTTGTGTTTTATTATTGTTGTTGTTTTCTAGTTTCTTGTGGCTGTTTTTTGGCTTTTAGAATTCATTCTTGGAAAAAAACATTGTTGCATTTTTTTTATTTGCCAAATCGGTATAATAGCAACAACAATAATAATAATTTCCCGAAGTTATGATTAATCTATTGATTGACATGACTTTTATAGTCGAACTTTCTTAGAAATTTATCCGAGACCCGAGAAATTATCTAAAATTCAACTCACTATTAAGGTTCATTATATGAGGTAAAAATATTATATAAATTAGAGTTTCTATTAAAATCATAACGAGTAATTTTTTTTTATAGAAAATATTTCTATCCATCTTAGAATAATTAAATGAATTATTTTTTTCTAAATTCCAAAAAGACACAAAGTACATGAAATTTAACGACTCCAATCAAACAACTAAAGCTGCAACATGTACATTGTTGACTGATTCT